CCTGCTCCGCCCTCCGACGGCCCTGCTGGGCCATATAAGGCCCAGACCCCTGCCCTGGTCGCTCTCCCACAGTGCCCTGACCAGCCACCATGGGGCAGCCACTAGCCTGCCTGGTGGCCCTGTGCCTGGCCCTGACTTCAGCCGGGGGCTCAGAGCTACAGAGAGGTGAGGGGGTGGCGGGGGAGCGTCCTGGGGGTCAGGAAGGCTGGCGGCCTGAGCAGACACCCTGCCTGGGAGTGGAAGGTGGTCCTCTCTGCCCAGACTTCGGGGTGGCTGGCCTGGTGGGGCGTCTTGCAGCCCCAGCCCTGCTGACTTTGGGTGGAAAGAAGGAAGGAAGGAAGGACAGGTGGTCTTGGGTTCCCACCGGCCCTGTGAAGGTGACGACCTGGCTGGGTGTGCGTTAGGGGCTGGAGCTGGTGGAAACACCCCATCTGGGCCACCGTCTGTGAGCGCGAGGGAGGCAGGGTGGCCAGGAGGGGCCTGGCTGGGGGACCTCAGTCCCAGGTATTGGGACCCTTGGAGGGGCAAGGCCAGGTATTTGGCCACTTCAGTTAGAGAAGACTGGGAACCTAGGACGGAGACATCTCTGTCCCAGCAGGGCCGGGTGACCAGGTCCCGCAGAGGCCCCTCCTGCAGGGCCACCCTCCCTGGGCCCTGGGCTGAGACCCCACGGCTCTCAGCTGTAGTCCAGCACCTGCGGACCGCTGCTGGCCAGGCTTGGGGTGTCCGCCGGGGCTGCTCACCCTTGGTCTCCCCGCTCCCAGAGGGCAGAGCCCGAAACCATGGCGACAACGTCTGCAGCACCTGGGGCGACTTCCACTACAAGACCTTCGATGGCGATGTCTTCCGCTTCCCCGGCCTCTGCGACTACAACCTGGCCTCCGACTGCCGGGACTCCTACAAGGAGTTTGCCGTGCACATCAAGAGGGGCCCCGGCCGCAGTGGGGGCCACCCCCAGGTCGAGTACATCCTGCTGACCATCAAGGACGACACTGTCTACCTCACCGGCCAGCTGGTGGTGGTGAACGGGGCCCTGTGAGTAGGGGAGAGGGCCCGCCCCTCCCGCACCCGCATCCTAGAAGCAGGGCCCCCAGGGGTGCCAGGAGGCAGGAGAGCAGGCTCTGCCCAGGACGGGGCTTCAGAGAGAGAGACGGGCAGGCAGGGAGCGGCCCCACTGAAGGAGCCAGCCCAGCCCAGGTGGACGGGGCCCTCGGGCGCCCGCAGCCTCTGTGGGCCATGGCCACACGTGGCCCCAGGGTGAGAGCTCCCCGCACAGCCTCAGTCCCCTCTGGGCGGCCGGACGGGGGAGGACCAGGTGGCGGCCGAGTGGGCTGGCCCCTGACTCCCTGGTGTCCCGCAGGGTCAGCACCCCGCACTACCGCTCCGGGCTGCTCATCGAGAAGACAGACACCTACACCAAGGTCTTCTCCCGGGCCGGCCTCACCCTCATGTGGAACCGGGAGGATTCGCTCATGGTGGGTGCCGGGCCCCCGGGAGCACAGGGTGGTTGGTGCAGGGTGGGCTTGGAGAGCCCTGCAGCCTCTGTGCCGAGGGGGGAGGCCGCAGGTTAGCGATGGGCAGAGGCGAGGCCACAGAACCCACCTGGGGCGGGGACCCTCAGGCGGGGTGGGGGGCTCCTCAGGGATACCAGGCCCCCCCAGCCCCCCCGGCTGACTCCAAACTCCTGATGAACCCGACACCCGTTCAGATGAGGTCCTGAGGTGCCTGGCTGTGGGGGGCTCTCCCGGCTGCCCCAGCTGCCCTGGACGGTGGTCCCGGGGGCCGGAGGCTGCTCACCTGCCCCCTCTTCCTCTGGCAGCTGGAGCTGGACAGTAGGTTCCGGAACCACACCTGCGGCCTCTGCGGCGACTACAACGGCCTGCAGACCTACTCAGAGTTCCTCCATGACGGTGAGGCCTGCGGGGGCTCGGTGGGCGGGTGTGTGTGTGCAGGCTCCTGGCGCGCCTTTGACCGGCTGTGCCCACCCCCCAGGCGTGCCCTTCAGTGCCATCCAGTTCGGAAACATGCAGAAGATTAACAAGCCCGAGGCCGTGTGTGACGACCCAGAGGAGGTGGCGGCTGCCCAGTCCTGCTCTGAGCACGTGAGTTGCCAGGACCCCCACCCAGGACTCCACCCACGGCAGCAGCGGTTCCCAGGGTGGGGGCCCTGGGGTAGCAAAGCTGCCCATCTCCCCAGAGAGCCCCCCACCTGCTGCCCCCTGGCTCCCGCCCTGGCAGGGTGGAAGGGGGAGGGTGTGAACAGCCGGGCCCAGGGCCCACCATTGCTTCTGCCACCAGCGTGCCGAGTGCGAGAGGCTGCTGACGGCCAAGGCCTTCGAGGAGTGCCTGGGCCTGGTGCCGCTGGAGCCCTATGTGCAGGCCTGCGCCCAGGACCGCTGCCAGTGCCCGCCGGGTGCCTCCTGCGTGTGCAGCACCCTTGCCGAGTTCTCCCGCCAGTGCTCCCACGCCGGGGGGCGGCCCGGGAACTGGAGGACAGCCTCGCTCTGCCGTAAGCGCCGGGGGGTTGGGAGGACAGGGCCTTGGGTGCGAGGGGGTGGTCCGTGGGGAGGGTGTCCTGGTGTCCTGGTCTGGAGCCTTGTCCAAGGACCAAGGATGTGGCCTCTGTCTTGGGTGCCAGGGTCCTTCCCGGGAGCCCCCCTGCTCCGCCGGCCACACTCCACCCCTTGGGCACGTCGCTCAGGGGCCTGTCGTTCCCATTTCAGCCAAGACCTGCCCTGGAAACATGGTTTACCTGGAGAGCGGCTCGCCCTGCATGGACACCTGCTCCCACCTGGAGGTCAGCAACCTGTGTGAGGAGCACCGCATGGACGGCTGCTTCTGCCCAGAAGGTGCGCACGGCAGCCCGCAGGGGCCCGCGGGTGGGAGGGGCACTGCCCTGGGTGCCCAGGACGAGTGGCCTCGTTGCCTCGGGCTTGGGTTCCCAGCTGCACCAAGGTGAGAATGGGGGGCACATGGCACCTGGAGCGAGGCTTGCGGCCTGCCTCTCCCCAAAACTGGGGGACAGGGTCCAGGTAGAGGGACACAAATACCGAAGGCCCCTCCCCTACACACACAGTGGTGGCTTCTAGGTGTCTTGGGTGGGGGGACACGGTCCTGGCGATCACTCTGTGGACAGACCTCCTCCCACCCGACCCGTGGAACCTGGAGGTTCCTGGGAAGGGGCTGGACCCTCAGGTATAGGAAGGTCCCTGACCACGCACTCGGGACCACAGTGTCACTCAAAAGACCAGAGGTGGCTGCGGGTGGGAGGCCTGGCTGGCAGCCCCCTTGGGGATCCCGGCTGAGTGTGACGCCCCCCTGTGCTGTCCCAGGTACCGTGTACGATGACCTCAGGGGCAGCGGCTGTGTCCCCGTGAGCCAGTGCCACTGCAAGCTAAACGGTCACCTGTACGCACCTGGCCAGCAGGTCAGCAACGACTGCGAGCACTGGTGAGTCTGGGGCCCGAGGTCGGGGCCTGGCGGGCCGGGGACAGCGCCGAGCCTGACTCCGTGCCCAACGCCCCNCGAGGAGTGCCTGGGCCTGGTGCCGCTGGAGCCCTATGTGCAGGCCTGCGCCCAGGACCGCTGCCAGTGCCCGCCGGGTGCCTCCTGCGTGTGCAGCACCCTTGCCGAGTTCTCCCGCCAGTGCTCCCACGCCGGGGGGCGGCCCGGGAACTGGAGGACAGCCTCGCTCTGCCGTAAGCGCCGGGGGGTTGGGAGGACAGGGCCTTGGGTGCGAGGGGGTGGTCCGTGGGGAGGGTGTCCTGGTGTCCTGGTCTGGAGCCTTGTCCAAGGACCAAGGATGTGGCCTCTGTCTTGGGTGCCAGGGTCCTTCCCGGGAGCCCCCCTGCTCCGCCGGCCACACTCCACCCCTTGGGCACGTCGCTCAGGGGCCTGTCGTTCCCATTTCAGCCAAGACCTGCCCTGGAAACATGGTTTACCTGGAGAGCGGCTCGCCCTGCATGGACACCTGCTCCCACCTGGAGGTCAGCAACCTGTGTGAGGAGCACCGCATGGACGGCTGCTTCTGCCCAGAAGGTGCGCACGGCAGCCCGCAGGGGCCCGCGGGTGGGAGGGGCACTGCCCTGGGTGCCCAGGACGAGTGGCCTCGTTGCCTCGGGCTTGGGTTCCCAGCTGCACCAAGGTGAGAATGGGGGGCACATGGCACCTGGAGCGAGGCTTGCGGCCTGCCTCTCCCCAAAACTGGGGGACAGGGTCCAGGTAGAGGGACACAAATACCGAAGGCCCCTCCCCTACACACACAGTGGTGGCTTCTAGGTGTCTTGGGTGGGGGGACACGGTCCTGGCGATCACTCTGTGGACAGACCTCCTCCCACCCGACCCGTGGAACCTGGAGGTTCCTGGGAAGGGGCTGGACCCTCAGGTATAGGAAGGTCCCTGACCACGCACTCGGGACCACAGTGTCACTCAAAAGACCAGAGGTGGCTGCGGGTGGGAGGCCTGGCTGGCAGCCCCCTTGGGGATCCCGGCTGAGTGTGACGCCCCCCTGTGCTGTCCCAGGTACCGTGTACGATGACCTCAGGGGCAGCGGCTGTGTCCCCGTGAGCCAGTGCCACTGCAAGCTAAACGGTCACCTGTACGCACCTGGCCAGCAGGTCAGCAACGACTGCGAGCACTGGTGAGTCTGGGGCCCGAGGTCGGGGCCTGGCGGGCCGGGGACAGCGCCGAGCCTGACTCCGTGCCCAACGCCCCACAGCACCTGCCACGCCGGCCGCTGGGTGTGCAAAGACCTGCCCTGTCCGGGGACCTGCGCCCTGGAGGGCGGCTCCCACATCACCACCTTCGACGGAAAGAAATACACCTTCCACGGGGCCTGCTACTACGTGCTGACCAAGGTAGCCGCCCCCAGCCCTGGTGAGCGTGGGGTGGACCTGGAGCCCAGCCCGTGTCCTCACCACGGCCCCCGCCCTCCCACAGGGCGACCACAACGACACCTATGCCCTCCTGGGAGAGCTGGCCCCCTGTGGCGCCACCGACAAGCAGACCTGCCTGAAGACAGTGGTGCTGCTGGCAGACAAGCAGAAGAACGTGGGTGCCCCCCCTTCCCCCCGTGCCCTGTCCCCTGTCCCCGAGGCCCTTCCTAGCCCCACGGTCCCCCCGTCTTTCCCCCAGGTGGTGGTCTTCAGGTCCGACGGGAGCGTGCTGCTGAATGAGCTGCAGGTGAACCTGCCCCACGTGACAGGTGAGTCCCAGGCGGCTGAGCGTGGAGGGCAGGAGGGAGCCCTTGCGCCCCGACGCCCTGACGTCCTGACGCCCCGACGCCCCGACGCCCTGACGCCCCGACGCCCTGACGCCCTAATGCCCTGACGCCCCCACCTCCACCTTGCAGCAAGCTTCTCCATCTTCCGACCATCCTCCTACCACCTGGTGGTGAGCACGGCCTTTGGCCTCCGGCTGCAGATCCAGCTGATGCCAGTCATGCAGCTGTTCCTGACCCTGGACCAGGCCGCCCAGGGCCGCGTGCAGGGTGAGTGGCGCCCCCAGGCTCCCCGCAGAGGCCACACTCAGGCCTGCCCCCTGCCCCCTGCCCCCTGTCCTGCCCCCTGCCCTGCCTCAACCCTGTCCTCGCCCCTCAGGCCTCTGCGGGAACTTCAACGGCCAGGAAGGTGACGACTTCAAGACAGCAGGTGGGCTGGTGGAGGCCACCGGGGCCAGCTTCGCCAACACCTGGAAGGCCCAGTCGAGCTGCCAGGACAAGCTGGACTGGCTGGACGACCCTTGTTCCCTCAACATCGAGAGCGGTGAGCGAGGTCCCACCCGGAAGAGCTGGCCCGGGGCCGTTGTGGCCTCACGGGGCAGCTGCGGTTCACGGCGGACGCGGCGTGTGGGGGCGGGAGGGGACACGGTCGGCCCCGCGCAGGGCCCCCCTGTCCGCCCGCTGCTTCCTGCCGTGTGGCTGTTTATGGTGCCCACGGTGGCAGCCCGCCACGTGACAGGGCAGGGGGGCCGGGCCTGCTGATTGCTGGGTGGTGGCCTTCTGCCAGGGCTGGCCTGGGGCAGGGGCGGTGAGCTCTCCCTCCCTCTGTGGCCCGGGAGGTTGAGAGGTGCGGGGTGGGCACCCCTGCCTCGTTCTGGGCTGACCTGACCTGGAGGGAGGGGCTGGGCTTGGTCCACGAGGGGATGGTGTTCACTGCAGGTTGGGTGGCCGGACAGCAGGGCTCAGGGGACCTGCTGCAGGGGCTGCCCCACTGAGCTTCTGACCCCCTCTAGCCAACTATGCTGAGCACTGGTGTTCCCTACTGAAGAGGAAGGGGTCCCCCTTCAGCAGGTGCCACTCCGCTGTGGACCCGGCCGAGTATTACAAGGTGGGTGGGACCCGCAGGCTCCGTGCCCCCGGCTGAGCGTGGGTGTGAACACGGGTGTGCAGGGTGTGGGCGTGGGCATGGGCGTGTGTGAGCGCTCGTGGGCGCTGGGAGCGCCCGCCCGGGTGCGCCCGCTCTCAGCCGCCTTTCCTCCTCGCCCCCCAGAGGTGCAGATACGACACCTGCAACTGCCAGAACACGGAGGACTGCATGTGCGCCGCCCTGTCCTCCTACGCCCGCGCCTGCGCCGCCAAGGGCGTCACGCTGTGGGGCTGGCGAGAGCTCGTCTGCAGTGAGTGCCACCCGCCGGCGTCCCGGGGCTCGGGGTCCTGCGTCCCAGGGCAGTGGGCCCTTGGCTCCCCCGCCATCCCCGTGGCAGATCCTCCTGAGGGTTGGGGTCCGGGGGGGGGGTCAGCGGGACACGGGGGCTCCCAGCCTCCTCTGCAGCGGGAGGATCCCCGAGCTGTGGCCCCAGCCTGTTTGCCCAGCGGGGCGGCCTAAGGGGCGGGTGCGCCAAGGTGGGGCTGGGGGACAGCCAGAGGGGGATGGCTAGCGCCCGGCGCTTCTCCCGCCGCTCACGAGGCCCCTCGCTCCGCAGACAAGGACGTGGGCTCCTGCCCCCAGTCGCAGATCTTCCTGTACAACCTGACCGCCTGCCAGCAGACCTGCCGCGCGCTCTCCGAGGCCGACGCCCACTGTCCCAAGGGCTTCGCGCCCGTGGACGGCTGCGGCTGCCCTGACCACACCTTCCTGGACGAGAAGGGCCGATGCGTGCCCCTGGCCAAGTGCTCCTGCTACCACCACGGCCTCTACGTGGAGGCAGGCAGTGTGGTCACCTGGCAGGAGCAGCTGTGGTGGGTGTCCTGGGGCCAGGG